GTAATAAATATGATTTAAATAGAACTCTTAACATACAATAGAAGAATAAAGTTTTGAACTTCTTCAAGAAATAGATCCACTATTAAATATAAGTAACTTGATTTCGACGAATGAGAACACAATTGGGAACAATCAAATGTATTTGAATACAAAATTACGGAACATTTTAGTAGAATCTGAGAACCATAAAGTAAATACTTCATTTGCAAAATGTCAATCAATTGACTGTCCCCTTGTTTCCACACTGATCATCCTCTGTTCTCGTTCTGTTTTCTTCGATCTTCTTAAGCTACTGATCACTCTAAGCAACAATGCAAGCATGTTCGGCATGCGATTCTCTCCCTCGAAATGCAAAATGTTGCTTCAGGATTGGGTTGCATCGACACCCGAACTAGTGATAGGGAGTGAAGTAGTTGAGTGTGTCGGCCGCTTCACTTATCTTGGAAGTCTCATCAGCCCTTGTGGTCTGGTTTGTGACGAAATCTCAGCACGGATACAGAAGGCTCGACTAGCTTTTGCCAAATTGCGTCATTTATGGCGTAGGCGAGATATCCGTCTACTGCGCAGCAGTTCGTTCCGTCCTACTTTATGGCAGGGAAACGTGGCCGGTAAGAGTAGAGGATATTCGTAGGTTACTAGTATTCGATCATAGGTGTCTTCGAAACATTGCTCGTATATCATGGGACCACCGAGTAAGTAACTCAGTTGTTAGGAGACAGGTACTAGGTAAGGATGGCAAATCAATTGGTGAAGTAACGAAACTTCATCAGTTGAGATGGCTAGGACACGCGTTACGTATGCCCAACGACCGACTACCCCGATGTGCGATGTTCAATGGTATAGGAGTAGGATGGAGGAAATCTAGAGGCGGCCAGACCAAAACATAGCACAAATCCATGAAGTGACTGACAAGTGGACTGAGTCATGTTGGTAGGTGTAGACTACCTGGTTGGGGACCGCGAGATGATAGCAACCGATGGTTAGAGACGTTGAATGACATGGCTCAAAATAGTTTGCAATGGCGCAGGTGCATACACTCTTTGTGTTTTCTCAAATGCTATTGTTCAGAATTCTTGATGTCCTTTATTTTCTTTCCAAATTTAGTTCACTGTATTATACTCCTTGAATAACATCTCCAAACCCTAATCTTTCCGATTACTGCTTATACTCTTATTACCTCTATCACTACGGGATTTGAATGGACAACTGTATCTCTGTGCTAATGTGGTGTGGCAACTCGAACTGATGTACGTATGTATGAAGTTCTACGTTGTTACTGACTAACTGACTGAAGGTTCTACCACCAGGCATTTTACTTTTGATTGATGATACACACTAGTTATATTTGTCGAAATCAGTAGCACACACCACGAAATAGATAAATTCCGTTGATTTCAATGCAGCTGCTTTACATTTATTTATTATTTATTTTAACACATTACGGATTATATTGTCACATTTAAGAGTATCAGCTTCTTAGGCATGAACTAATTATAATGCACATGTTGACAATGTTGTCAAAATTGATTGTGTATCATCTGTCTATTCACTCATTGAACACTGACATACATTTACATTTTCTGTATCCCCTACATGTACGACATACAAATCATACACTGCAATTAAAATTTAAAAAGTAGATTATAAATCATCTTACTTCTAGTTGTAGTTCATTATAACTATTCTGTAAGTGAACTGAAATTGGCCTTTCCTATTCAATTCATCCACAAGCATGACATCACAGTCTTTCTACTAGGGAGATATGGGTTCCTAACTTTTACGTACCATACAACATCGATTATTCTTTATAGATGTATCACTCCTATAGTTTACTTATATTCTTCTTATACTACTAACTAAGAACCACTTTGTGTTTACTAAGCTCTGATAACAATACTGTACCCCAAAATGTTACCATCTATGATTATGCATTTTGTTATCTTCCCCAATGTTAAAATCCTTGTGAGAAATAGTCAATCAAAGTAAATTATGAATCACTACTTATCAAATAATGTACACTTTTTTGTATTGAATTAACAATGCTCATAAACTGATATTCATCATAGTCAGAATATAAATGGTATATTGTCATTATTGCAATTCGAAAATGATGACATTCTATTAATTAAAAGAGTTGATGGTTGAATAAGAAGACATTCAAAACAGGAAAACTATCTGAACAGAGATAGTACGCATATTTCCTTAACTTTGTATCTCTACGATACAAAAGACGCTTGATAAAAACTCTTAACTATCAAATATGTACTATATATTCTATCAATATAGTTGAAAAAACAGCTAAACACACTGAGTAATACACTTAAGGAAAACAGGTACCCCGGGAAGTTTATAAACAAATGTATCATCACAAAGATTAGAAATAAGTGGAATACAAACGATGAATAAGAAATTCCTGTTCATTTGCTTAAAACTCAGAGGTAATAAAGTCAAAGAAATATTAATTCAGAGATTCCACAGAACAATCCAAAGAACATTCAACGCTAAAAAGCTAAAACTGGTGTTTTCTACTCACCTGGAATGATCACTTCGTTCTGTATTTATCATTTTGACCGCTCTTATGAACTAAGTTATTGTTGGCCAGAGTTCTAGAAATCTATATCTTCGTGCTCGCGAGCATCTCCGAGAATGACTAAATAAAGGCGTAGAGTGAACAGCTCAATACTGGCTATCTATTGTAAACTAGTCACAGTGCCGGTATAAACCAATCCTTCGCAATAATTTATCGGATCAGTAAATTTTCGCCAAAGTCGGTGCAACACAAAGTCGTCAAATGGCAGAAGCGATAGTCATTAGGATTAAAAAACCGGTGATGCGTAGGAAAGAAAAGATCTTCAACCGTTCCTCTTACCTTGGCCAACTTCAGGACCAATTAATCATTAGTAATCTTAGCAAAAAGGGAACTGAATGATAAACGAGATTTCGAGTTCAGTAGGTGTTCTGCAACTTTAAACTATTATTATTACTGTTATATCTTGTGACCGCCGATTAGAGAGCAGTGACTTAACGATCGGACCAAGGACGCGTAAACATGTGCGAGCAGCCTAAAGTCCTGATTGGCCCTGCTTCCTGTCTAGCCCAGCCAGTTAAGTCCAGAACACAAATCTCAGCCTCTGCGATATGAATCATGTATTTCAAACATACTCTGTTTATATGCCAATCAAACAGACCACATCGTACCATAAAATAGAAAATAACATTTGTACTTCATTTGGCCAAATGTGGCTGTGAATGAGGGAGGTAGTAATTAAGACAGGGTGTAATTCAAGAATGGAAAATCGTATAATAACAGTTTATAGGTTAAAATAAAGCTTATGATAAGAGGGACATGAATATGAATAGCTTAGTTAATTAACAATTATACGGTAAAAATATAGGCACAGTACTGGTCCATAAATAGATCCAAAAAATCACCATTCATTATAGAACTCGGGACACAACAATTACTTACACCTGTTACGACTCGTCGAGGAGCATAGGCCGCCCACCAGCATTCTCCATCCAACCCTGTCCTGAACAATCTTTCCAAGCTCTTTTCCGTTGTTATTCATCCTTTTCATATCTGCTTCTATTTCCCGACGTAATGTGTTCTTTGGCCTTCCTCTTTTCCGTTTCGTTTCAGGATTCTAAGTTAAGGATTGCCTCATGATACAGTTTGATGATTTGCGTAATATATGTCGTTTCCATTTCCATCGTCTTTTCCTAATTTCCTCTTCAGCTCGAAGCTGGTTTCTTCTCTCCCACAATGGGCTGTTGCTGATGGCATCTGGCCGATGGATGTTGAGTATCTTGTGTAGACAACTATTTATAAATACTTGTATGTTCTTGATGATGGTTGTTGTAGTTCTCCAAGTTTCAGCTCAGTACAGCAGAAGTGCCTTGACGTTCGTATTGAAGATTGTGACTTTGATATTGGTTGATAGACAGTTGTTTTGAGTTCCATATGTTCTTCAATTGTAGGAATGCGGCCCTTGCTTTGCCAATCCTCGCCTTTACGTCTGCATCTGAACCTCCTTGTTCATCGATGATGCTTCGCAGGTATGTGAAGGATTCTACATCTTCCAGAGTCTCGCCATCAAGAGTGACTGGATCGCTGTTCTTCGTTTCGAATTTGAGGACCTTGGTTTTCTCCTTGTGTATGCTGAGGCCTACTGATGCAGAAAGTGCTGCTACACTGGTTGTCTTTATCTGCATTTGTTCATGCCGCTTTACACAACCTTAAACCAATTTCAGATCCATATAAGTAGAACAATTCAGTCGATTTGAACCAAGTATCAGTAATAAATAAAGTAAAACTTGGAGCAAATGTGATTCTATCCGACACAGTATACCATATAAGAATAATGAGATGAAATGAACAAGGTCTTTAGGTTTACAATTGAAGTTATAATGGTAATTTCTATAATGATGAAAAAATTTCATGAATCTCTTCAGTTATTGGAATCATTGTTTTTCATTTGTTCACTTTTATCATTCTTACACAAACCTAAACCAAACAACAGGGTTGATTGTCGAAATGAGAGATGGTTAGACATATGAACCATTTCACTTAAAATAGTCTAATCATAAAATGTAAACATTAGAATTCAGTAATGTCAACGATTGCGACTCAGATAATTCAAGAGTTTCGTTCAGTCAATTATTTGGAACTTCTTCAAAGGAAATATGATCGAAATCAACATTATCATATACATATATAAGGTATAAATCATTAAATAACACTAAAAGTTTTTTCAATCATATTGATCAAATCGTAACATGAGGCGAGATCGTGGATACACACTGTTGAGGAGTCCCACAATAGGACGATAAAGCCATCCAATGCTCCCAGGTTTTCTATGATGGTATAACATCAATGGACTCATAATCTTAACTATTACAATAATTAGTTATTATCATAGTAACTATTGATCAACAAGTCAATACAAAGATCGTAAACATCCATCAATTAGAAAAAGGAATATCAACAATAATTGAATATTCATATATATTTGATTTATTGATCATTTTCATTCATTGAATTGAATTTCAATTCAACTGATTTATATTACTCAAATATACTTTCAGATTATAAATAAAGATAATGATGATAATTACTTATTATTCTCTAATAACAACAGTCAGCATCATTGATGAACAGGGTGGATCTGATGCAGATGTGAAGGCACGGTTCGGCAAAGCAAGAGCAGCATATTTACAACTGAGGAACATCTGGAACTCAAAGCAACTGTCAGCCAACACCAAGGTCAGGATTTTCAATACAAATGTCAAGACAATTCTACTGTATGGGGCAGAAACCTGAAGAACTATGAAAGCCATCATTCAGAAGATACAGGTGTTTATTAACAGTTGTCTACACAAAATACTTCGGATCCGTTGGCTGGACACTATTAGCAACAACGTACTGTGGGAGAGAACAAACCAGATCCCAGTGGAGGAAGAAATCAGGAAGAAGCGCTGGAAGTGGATAGGACACACATTGAGGAAAGCACCCAACTGCGTCACAAGACAAGCCCGCACATGGAACCCTGAAGGTCAAAGGAAAAGAGGAAGACCAAAGAACACATTACGCCGAGAACTGGAGATAGACATGAGAAAAATGAACAAGAATTGGATAGAGCTAGAAAAGAAGGCAGAGGACAGAGTGGGTTGGAGAATGCTGGTCTGCGGCCTATGCTCGATTAGGAGTAACAGGCGTAAGTAAGTAATAACAACAGTATGCAGATACATGCACACACACACATACACACACAGAGAGACTTACTGACATCTATAACATGGATAAACAATTACTATATCAGTTGGTTTCATTAACCTATTATAAACAAAAGTGACCTTTTACTGGATAAGCTTTAATTCTAATTTTATTACATTTGATGAAGTCTTGGGACACAGTTCAATCAGCAATCAACAGACATATTGAAATTGATCCAATTTATCAACCAATCAGAAAAACTATGGACAAATATAGGACCGAGAACCAAATCAATGGGAGATACAATCAAAATAAAGTAAACAATGTGCTATGTTTGAAGAGATTACGAGTTCACCTAATCTGAGAACGAAACGAAGACCTTGTGACACAATCACCAATAAGCTAGCTATTCCCGACGCGTACCAGCCCTGCTAAGTAGAGAGAAAAGTCCAAGTTCAGAAGAGGGAAATATATTCCACAAGCAGTCAGAAGCACTAACAACAATAACAAAAATAAATCAAGAGTATATATACAGCATAAAAATGTCCTTGAGAAGCGTTACAAAATAGCATACTAAAACGTACAACGAACTAATAGTGTTTAAGATCCTCTCAGGTGACAAATACAACATGAAGGCGAAAATGAACGTTTTTGGCGCGAAAACAAGAAATCCAAATTTATAAAATAGAATTACAAAAATGAAGTATTTATCAAGTGAGTTCTGTGGATCTAACATCTCCAACTTAATAACAGGTTAAAAGTCAACAGTAGCCAATCAATATCAAGGTCTACAACACAAGTTATGAGTCATATGTGAAGAGATTCGAACACTTCACTTCTACCTGAAATTTCCGTTGATACTGTTGTTCAGAAGAAAAGAAAACACAATGAAAGCACCACGACATAACCATCTAATTCAGACAACAAAACTCCATCAAAATCATCCGCCTAAACTACAAATTCTTCTCGATTATGTAAATTTTATGATTTCTATATTTATTTCTTTGATCATTTCCCTTTGAAGAATTAAAGACCAGTTTTACCAAGATAAAAAAAACATTAGAATTATTTAAATTGAAATCAATCAAATTATTTGAAACATTCACTAACTTCTAGGTATTCAATGTTGAATTTCTGCTGAAATCTTGACGACGACGACGACGACGACTGGAACACTTAAATCATTACATAACTTGATTCACTACTTGATCCACTACCATTATTGTTTACAGAAATAAAAGAACGTAAATAATAATCGGGATGGGGGGAGTGGGGAAGAGTGGAAGGGGTGGATGAGCATAAAATTTCATTTTAATCACAGCTACAAGCTTTATTCAATTTTTCTAATGTATATGGAAACTATACAAAAATTACATTAAACATATTGACTAGAAGAATGGGGTACAATAATACAATGAAACATCTATGCAAGATGTTTGTTTTTTTACAATATATTATTTATGTAATAATAGACAAATTCATTAAATTAACTTTTTAATTTTGGTAAATGAATTTGTTGAACATGACTTCGTAGAAATGGACGCCAACCACGAATTAGTTGTTGATTTTGACTAAGATAACGTTGACATTCATACCAATGATGAAAAGAATTCGATTCAATAGCACCAATTAAATTTGCACCATGTACAGCCATAACACAACCGGTTAACTAATGAAGAGAAAATGTATTGATAAAATAAGATATAATATTGATGATAGTTCATAATAATATTTCTAAACTATAGTGTCAACTCATTACTACTCGACAAATGAAGATTACAATGGTTGAGATCATAAGTCAATTGAAGCTAGACCACCATGAAAAACCTGGAAGCAATGAACGACTGTTTCGTCCTAGTATAGGACTCCTCAGCAGTGTGCATCCATTCGAACCCACGACCTATTAGTTTCGCGGGCGCGGGACTAATCATGTAATCTGTTTTATAACTATTAGAATTGAGGTTAGAAAAGTCAAAGCCAAACAATCATATCACTTTCAAAATACTTCTCATTTGTGACAATACAAATGTCGCATTATCCATTTCTATTGTTCAAAACATTCATGAAAGTTGAAAAGAGCAAGAACAGAGATTTTAGCAGAATAGCATGAATTCATTTTATTTCGTAGGTTCTCGTCAGCTGCTTACAACCTGTGATATTTAAAAATCATAATTGCATAATGGATTTAAATTGCTTACAGAATATTGTAAATATATACCTAATGTGAAAGAATATTCTACAACATTAATTGTGACAACAGTTCAAAAATGGGTTAGAAACAATTGATTACATAATGAATAAACATCGATAGGAATATAGTGAGTAGAGTTCAGTTGAAAGATTATTAATTTGAAAGATAGTTGACAAAATAAATTAGAACCAATGATGTAATAAATGCAACAGAAAAAAGAGAAAAAAATTTTAAGGTTCAGTGAAGGAATATTTGTCACCAAGGCAAGGAAAGATTAACCACCGTCTCTTTTTGAATACATAGGTCAGGTTTTTATCGCCTGATGTCAATGGCTTCAGCAAACTTCAGAAGACTGGAGTTTGGCTGCTTACTAATCACCCTAAAGGATTGTAAGGTATCTACCTGATGTCCTGTATCAAGGAGATGTTTGGTGATCGCACTGTTCAGAGTCTTTCTTTCCCTTGTTCTAAGACTTTTTGGAACATGTTCAAAGAATCTAAGATATGCTCTCCTTTCAGTTCGACCGATGTAGCTGCTTTGGCAAGTACATGTAAATTTATAAATACAGTTGGCGGTAACATGAAAGGGTTGCTTGTCGATCTTTGATTGGGTTATTGAACATGTTGTTTTATAGAGAATTAAAAGTTTAGCAGCCGGATAAGTTCTGGCTAGCGCTGTATTCAGTCTCTTGTTGAATTCATGCTATTCTGCTAGAATCTTTGTTCTTGCTCTTTTCAAAATGATAAAGGGAACTATGTGTATGAAAATTCATGAAAGTTATTGGAAGTCTCTTCTTAAAACCACAGTTTAATGAAGATATGACCAGTGATGATGTCCTTCATAACAGACTAGTGAGAGTTATTAAAAGGAATTTTTATGCAACTAATCCTAATTTACGATTTCCCAGTAAATCGGTAGTGTTTACTGAAATAAAGGATAATTTAGCTGATTTTACCACTTTGATGTGTATTTACCGATTCAACTCCCCCTATAGAGAAAGCTCTATCACGTGTATCATGAAGGAATTTAGTCAACAAATGAGTGAACATCTCTCTGTGAGTGGTTTGGGAAAAGTCAAACAAACTTCATCTTCTATATGGTTGGTAGATATGAAATTACAGATATATCTGATCACCTGCGTCAACACTAGATGAACAATGCGGAACAGACGTTTTTTTCTCGTGGTAAACAACAGGGAAAGTAGTGAATGAAATATGATACATGGAATATATACTCAACAATGATAGGGTATTTATTTGTCATGGAATCCTGAAGGTCAAAGGAAAAGAGGAAGACCAAAGAACACATTACGTCGAGAAATGGAGATAGACATGAGAAAAATGAACAAGAATTGGATGGAACTAGAAAAGAAGGCCCAGGACAGAGTGGGTTGGAGAATGCTGGTCAGCGGCCTATGCTCCATTGGGAGTAACAGGCGTAAGTAAGTAAGTAATAGAGAAACGTTCTTAGTAAAATAAATAAATCTGTTCAAAACTCAGTCTATTAGTTGGTCAAATATAATCAGAGAGATATTATGAATCTAGACTTCATCCTATATTAAAAGTTATCAGTAATACATATCTGGAAATGTTAAGCATAATGGTATCCCCTTCTCGTGTGATTCGAATTCACATGACATAATGAAACAGTGAAGGACGTTATCATTGAGATAGATGAACATTCGCTTAGATTAGGACTAATAGTAGAAATAATAGTTGTATTTAATACTTTATATTTCGTCAGCGTAAGGCGTTCTCAACGGAAAACATGTAGTGTTGTGATAAATTCTGCTTTGATATATATATATATCATTTATAACCATGCAAAAAATGTACTCGAACAGTGTTTATCTGTCATTTATCTTTAACTATGAATGTTTTCGACTATTTTCACATTGCATATTATGTTTAATATATAAATCTTAATATATTCTCCTCATATCTATTTGACGAATAGATAAGAAGCAAATTATACAAACATGCAAGATGTTTCCATCTATATCTTTCAGTATCATGATAGATTGTGAGCTTTTCTGTTTTAGAAAAGTGTATAATTACAGTGTGTCTTTCAAGAACAAAATAACTGTGTTAAAATAAATCTAAAATGCGAAAATTTATTGTGGCAGCTATTCAATCTTAGAATAGGTAACCTAAAAGTTTGAAAAGGTCATTTAAACTCGCATCTGCTGGGACCACCAGGTAAGTAATAGTGACGTTAGACGCAGGGTATTAGGGAATGATGATAAATCATTTGATGAGGTTGTGAATCTTCATCGACTGAGATGGTTGGGCCACGTGTTACGCATGCCTAAGCACCGATTACCACGACGTGCAATGCTGACTAGTGTTGGGGATGGTTGGAAGAAAGTTAGGGGCGACCAAACCAAAAGGTGACATCATTGCTTGAAGACGCTAACATCTGGTCTGAGTCATGTTGGTAGATGCAGACTACTTGGTTGGGGTCCGCGTGACTATCGTAACCAATGGTTGGAGACTCTTGGTGACATGGCTCAGAATCGATCACAATGGCGTCGGTGTATACACTCTGTCTTCCCTTAAACTATGAAATTAAAATCGCTTAATATCTTTCTTTCTACGTACTAGACCTTTCTTCCTGTAATATGTCCTTATATGAAATCTTTCTTTTATATATTACTACCGTTGAATTAACCAGTTCTATGAATCTGGTGTTCATCTTGTTGTGCTAATGAAGTATGGCAACTTAGACCGACGCACATATGTGCCTGCCTGGTCCTACGTTGTAGCTGACTGACTGAATTAAACTACCTAAACAACACAAAATCAGTTTTTAGTGATAATTTACTCTTTGAGTGAGGCAGTTTAATTGAAAGCTTCCACTATCGCTATGCTAAACATCACATAGGCTTCCATACAACAAAGTATAAGCTGATAATTTTGTTCAGAACTATAATGAACATAACCCTAACTAAAAGTATTCATTTAAGCTGAATATCTTCTGAATCATTTCAAAACAATTGTCAACTGATCAATACAACGGTAAAAATTGAAGTCTTTTGATGTGATCTTACTTTTACAATGATTGGAAAATAATAATTCTGATTCTTAAAAAAAAACCTCATATCAACCAGTGAAATAAAAGAATTCCTCGACACTTCACATGACTACTATTACTACTACTCATCACATTAAACTTACTTCAAATGGATAAGTATAATTATGTAATGTATAGTATAATAATACACGTAAAATATTCATATTTTCAGTAGATCTTCTACCTAATCCAAATATCAATAATCTGACCAGACGACAAGAACAATAATAAGCTGATGTTAAAATCATTTCACCAATTAAACGTGGTATAAAACCCTTTGAATAATAGAAGAAAATAAAAGAAGAAAAATCAAATGAAAATAAATATTTTATAAATAAATAAATAAAAATAAAACATGACTATGGCATTAGTTCATGAAGTCCATCGACAATTGAACTTAACCATCTTAATAAATACAGATTATCTGATTGGATTATCGTAACCAATGGTTAAAGACTATTAAATTGCGATATAACGAATCATTGTTGGACAATCAGTTGAATGAAACTCGTCACTATACATCAACTTCCTTGACTATGTGAAAGTAGATAGGAGAACCTTATAGAACCTTCTTCGATACTATGGAGTACCTAAAAAAAAGTCGTCAATATCATACGGAATTAATACGATGGACTATATTGGAAAGTGTTGAATGGAGGATAGCTGACAGACGCACTCCAAGTGATGACCGGTGTCAGATAAGACTGTCAACTCTCCCTCTTTCTCTTCTTTCTGGTGGTTGACTCGATTATGAAAGCCTCGACATCTGAGGGGAAGCGCATAACACAATGAACAGCATGGATGCAACTGGATGACTTGGACCTTGCAGATGACCTATCTCTTCCATCCTATACACATCGACAAATGCAGGTAAAGACAAACAGTGTATCAGAGGTCTTTATGGCAGTAGGCCTCAACATACACATCGGAAAAACCAAGATCCTTAAATACAACATAGAGAACACCAAACTAATCACACTTAGTAGAGGAACTCTGAAAGAGATGGAACCTTTCATATGTCTAGGTAGCATCATTGATAAGCTGGGAGGATCTAATGCAAAAGTAAAGGCAATAATTGCCAAAGCAAGGACAGCATTCTTACAGTTGAAGAACATATGGAACTTAAAACAACTATCAATCGATATAAAAGTTGTAATCTTCGATACGAGAGCCAAGACATTCCTAATGCACGGGGCTGAAACTTGGAGAAAGCTTCCAATTGAAGAGGAAATTAAGAAAAGACGTTGGAGGTGGATAGGACAAACACTGTGGAAATCACCAAACTGAATCACGAGGCGAGCACCAATTTGAAATCCTGAAGGAAGAAAAAGAGGAAGACCAAGCAACACACTGTGTCGAAAGGTGGAGGCAGACATCAGAAGAATGAATAGCAACTGGAAAGTATTGCCCAGGATAGAATTGGTTGCAGAATCCTGGTGGGCGGTCTATGCTCATCTACGAGGGGTAACAGGCGTAAGTGACCAAGTAAATTAATTGATTATCGATCATGAATAAAACTGTAAATAGTACAAACCTACATCTGTCAAAGTTGTTTGACAACATCAGCACTATAAGTTAAAATTAAAAAGATGGATAGAAAATAATTTGAAATAACAATAACAGCGTAAATTACGCTAAGAAACTAAACATAAAAATATGGTTCGCAAAGAAAGAATACAAGTGAGAAATCAAAACACGAGGTATTAATGAGACTGAATTAGTATTTACTTAGTCAAAATGTTGGCTCTCATATGATACATTTAGCTTACAGGCTAAGTATGCTTGATCGGTATACGTCTCAGGTTTAAATTAATCTAACAGTAGCTGAGTAGTACATGTTTGTATGTTTAGCTTTGAATTCTACACATTTTACGTACGATGGGTTACCCGAATCGAAGTGCAGGAAGTCAATCATTAGACGAGAGAACGAGACAGGAATCAATAAAACGTATCATAGAATAGAACAATAATCGCCTACCTGGAAAAATCCTAAAATACCATTTTCACGATAAACAGCTCGAACAGCCATAGGAAAAAATGTATACTGAGTTTCCTTGCCAATCAAAGCTGCAATCTGTCGAACAGTAATCACTGAATTAATAAAATATAGACTATTATGTGATTTCTAACATTTTAAAAGATAACACATTAAAGAACAAGAATTAGTAGATATCTAAAATACTTTTTTTTGTGTGATCTACAATCTCTATGCAATATATATACTTTACCTGTTAATACATGTAAACGTTCTTGAATAAGTTCCATGTTGAATTATTTGCGTAACTCTTAAACCTTACCATTAGCGCTGTGGATTTGGAATCTAGGAAAAAGTATGTTACTTTTAAAGTCAACAATTCTGAACCCTTTCTTCTGTCTTTGGGAAGATAGCATCACTGCAGATGTTGATTGTATGTCGAAAATACTGATTCGCTATCAAGTCTTAATTTAATTGACTTGTTAGGAATTATAGGATCTCGATAAAAACGAATGTTTTAATCAATACAGCTTAACTGTATCACCGTGATGAAGAAACTTGACCACCACATTGAAACAGTAATCAAGATTGAAGGACATTCAATAGGCTTTAACGGACACGTTGACATTTAGTCAAAAGTATATTATTAACCTAAGAAAATATTCAAAATTATGATCACGGATATGAATGGATTATTCTAATATTTAGTAGTTCATAAAGAGATTTGGTATAAAAATACAATGATTAATTGATTACTGACATAATCAAATGAATATGGTTTGACACATGGCATGACAACGTAGATGAAGGTGCACATAATCTAATATTTTTAACAAAAATACAAGTCTATCCAAAAATTTGTTGCATACGTATCTGTCTAGATCTATAATTTTGATTGGAATATTAGAAAGTCCAAAAGTATCTAAGCTCCAGAAAAGAATTAATTTGTAATAATAATTAGTAGTTCTCAACAGTCACCTTGTGCTATTGCTATAGTAAGGATAATCTGCTGAAAATCTTATGCAACAGGTTAATCAATCTTAACAATAAGTTGAAAGAAGTTTGAGAAAGGCTACAAAACAACATGATACTAGTCTACAACATTAGTCCCAGATGTGTAAAAAGCTAGGAACTTTCAGGTAGGATTGCGTGAGATCCTCGTAAATGGTGATTATAGAACTTAAGGAGGCATAGCTATAACTTAGTTGCCCCCAAATGCTCTGGTATGGCCGAGAGTGGGGTGGACCCGCCCTCCTTGAAATGCGCTCACATGGTCACGCGTATACAGCCTCTGCCAGGGAAGTCCTACCCACTGCCTTCTCGTGACGAGGGTGTTGTTTACGAAAATGAGAGGATGAAAAGCGAATGTCTGGCGCTTTAACCGCATTCCAAACCAATGGTGCACATGGGCTCCAGTATCCTGAGGGAACAAATAGCGTATGAAACAATCGTTGGTCACCGGCTACAATGGAACTGCATCTCCTGACGTTGCTAAACTGCCTGGTGGGTCAGACCTTTACGTCAATGACTCGGGGTGTGGCCCCCTAAGAAAACCACCTGCCTCGGCCTGAACACCCGGGCAGTATCACAGCTCACACACAAATAAAATGAAGATGACGATATTTACGGAAAATTCTATTCTTGCTTCGATTTTCAGTCAAACAATTCACATTATTATTATTATTATTATTATTATTATTATTATTATTATTATTATTATTATTATTATTATTATTATTATTATCTTTATTTACTACGTCACTTATTCACTCTCTTTTATTCCCACTCTGTGTATCCTTATTTTTTGACTTATACAGTAGCTCGCCTATGGTGGAAACTCGGTTCTATCTAAACGTTCTCGAGTCACTGTTCGGTTGAAAATTGAGTGCAACCACCAAATACGAATACTGAAGAAGTTTTTCTGAAACCACGTGCATCATTCAAACTGGCTGCCTTCAACGTTCGCACACTAATGCAGATCGGACAACAGATAGGGCTGGCTATGTCTTTAGAAAGTCTTAATATCGACGTTTGTTGTCTATCCGAGACCCATATTCAAGACTCTGGTGAAGTACTGTAAATGCGCCCTCCATCTGTCGCTTCAAAAAGCTTGTTTGACGTGCACTTATCCGGAGACCCTGTGGAATCTTCTTCTGGTCTTGCTGGCGTTCGTGTCGCACTAAGCGCTAGAGCTGAGGCAGCACTAATCGATTGGATCCCCATTAACAGTCGGTTATGTGCTGTTAGATTAGAGAGTTCCATCAAAGTGAGAAACCGGTGTGAGAAACGATGTCTTTTCGTTATCTCCGCCTATACCCCGACAGATTGCAGCCCGGATGCAATCAAGGATGAGTTTTACCACCAGTTATGGGCACAATTCTTCGAAGGGCAGTTCAACTGGCTTGCTGCTCCGGCAACATCGGTCAGACTGTCCTGCCCTCCATGGCCGGTGACGACTGATCCGCCAAACGAGGAGGAAGTCCGCAAGGAACTCCAACTCCTGAAGCGCTACAAATCACCGGGCCCAGATGACTTATCTCCGGATCTTTTTAAAGATGGTGGTGACTTCCTGACTAAGGGACTGACGATGTTGTTTACAAAGATCTGGGAGCTAGAGAGTGTACCAACATCATGGAATGAGTCGATAGTTGTCCCTATCTTTAAAAAAGGTTGACGTCGTTCCTGTAACAACTATCGGGGGATAAGTTTAGTTCCGATTGCGTCCGAGCTATTGGCTTCCGTCATATTTCATAGGTTGTTCAAAACCCGAGAAAGATTGACTCGCGAGGAGCAGGCTGATTTTCGTTCCAGTCGAGGATGTATTGATCATATCTTCACCCTCCGCCAAATGTTAGAACACTGCCATACTTATCACAGGTCAACAATTGTAATGTTTGTTGACATCAGGGCTGCCTTTGATTCGTTGGACAGTACTGTTCTCTGGGATTGTCTATTGAAGAAGGGTGTGCCTGTGAAGTTTATTAACATCTTAAAGGCCCTATATACAAACACCTCAGGCAGGGTGAGGGCATACAACCACCTTTCTCCATTGTTCCATTCTGTTGTGGATGCGGAGGAATAGACCAATAATTATCATGTTAAGTCCAATGGTGTCCTTGGACTTTAAATGGACATTTCCTATTGGTCGATATCTGTTCACTTGTTGAATATTGTACAAAATGTTGTTTTCTATTTTATGGTACGATGTGGTATGCTTGATTGGTATATAAACAAAGTATGTTTGGAATATAATGATTCATATCTCAGAGGTTGTGACTTGTGTTCTGGACTCAACTGACTGGGCCAGACAGGGAAGCGAGACCAATCGAGACTCTAGGCCGTCCGTATGTGTTTACGTGTCACTGTAATCGATCGATAAGTACGCTGCTCTCTAATTTTCCAGTCAAGGACACAACAATTAGCACAGGGTAAAAATCGACCGCAACTTAAAGTCATAACACATTCAAGCAGTGGGGTTAGACAGGGTTGCCCAATCTCACCATTCCTCTTCAACTTTGCCATCGATGACATTCTAGAAACTGCTCTGATGGAAGTAGGTAATGATGGTGTGGATCTGTTGCTTGTAGAAAGACTTCTCGACCTTGAGTATGCGGATGATATTGTCTTACTGTGTGATAATGCCCAAGCCATGCAATCCGCACTTAATCAGTTGGCAATCAGTGTCCGTAGGTATGGTATGTGCTTTGCACCTTCGAAGTGCAAAGTACTTCTACAAGACTGACAGGATTCTAATCGTGTACTCACCCTGGATGGTGAGCAGTCAGAAGTAGTCGAGAAGTTCGTGTATCTAAATAGTTGCATAAGTGCTGGTGGTGACGTGAATGATAAGATCAATGCACGTATAGTGAAAGCCAGAGTGGCTTATGCCAATCTGGACCATCTTTGGCGCCTTCATGATGTTAGTCTGGCCGTAAAAGGTCGAATTTACAACACGTCGGTGAGAGCAGTTCTGCTCTACGCTTGTGAAACCTGGCCTCTCCGAGTTGAGGACGTTAGACGACTCTCTGTGTTCGATCATCGATGTCTCCGAAGGATTTCTGACATCCAGTGGCAACACCATGTTGGTAATGCAGAGATTCCGCATCGTGTGTTTGGTCACAGAGACGATAATGCAATTGGTGTCACCATCTTGAAACACCGACTTCGGTGGCTTGAGCTTGTTCTACGAATGTCGTCCCAGAGAGTTCCACGTTGTGCATTATTTGCCGACGCTGGGACTGGTTGGAAGAAGCGGAGAGGTGGTCAGTGCATGACATGGTTTCGTGGTATGAAAGAAAGCTGCAAAGGGCTGGCTCCTAATGGTCCTTCACGACTCCCTGGTTGGGGTCCTAGAGATGGTGCGACGCAGTGACTAGAGACGTTATCAGATATGGCTCAGAATAGAAGCCAGTGGCGATCCTGCTGTAACCTTCTTTTACTTCATAAAAAATGGTTGTATCTTCCTTAACTGAAAGAATTCTTCTGTTGTACCTTTCCGTTTCCCCCATTATTACTATCATTATTATTACAACACTGCCTTACACTAATCTGTTCTTTTCTTTTTTTCCTACACGCACCTTACCTTCTTTCTCTTCCCATTCTCATTGCTTTGTGTGGCACATATACATTTGGTGCCCCCTTGTACGAATATTTATGTGTTCAAATAAATAATAAATAAATACCACCTTCAACACAGGCGATATATCTATCTGCCTATCAGAGCACGAGTACACGGCTCGGTAGCCAACTCTCTATTAAATCGAAAACGGAAATTGTGTACGTTATTGGTTTGTCTTGGCCAGGAGGCTTCTAGTTCTATCCTGAAACCAGCTACCATAGTGATTCAAGGTAGGTTGAACGGTATACATAACATGTGTTCCAGCCACCTCATTCGATGAAGATTCACTACTCAGTCAGTCAGTCAGTAACAACGTAGAACTTCGTACGTACGTACATCAGTTCGAGTTGCCACACCACATTAGCACAGAGATGCAGTGGTCGATTCAAATCCCGTAGTGGTAAAGGTAGCAAGAGTATAAGCAGTAATCGGGAAGATTAGGGTTTGGAGATGTTATTTAAAGAGTATAATCCGGTGAAAGAAATTTGGGAAGAGGGAAAAAGGGACATGAAGAATTCAGAAGATTAGAGTTTGGGAGAACACAGAGAGTGAATGCACCTGCGCCATTGCGAACGATTTTGAGCCATGTCATTCAGGGTCTCTAACCATCGGTTGCTGTCATCTCGCGGTCCCCAACCAGGTAGTCTACACCTATCAACGTGACTCAGTTCACTTGTCAGTGACTTCATGGACTTGTGCCATGTTTTGGTCTGGCCGCCCCTAGCTTTCTTCCAACCTACTCCTATACCACTGAACATAGCACGTCGAGGCAGTCGGTCGTTGGGCATACGTAACACGTGTCCCAGCCATCTCAACTGATGAAGTTTCACTACTTCATCAATTGATTTGCCATCCTTACCTAGTACCCGTTTCCTGACAACTGTGTTACTTACTCGATGGTCCCATGATATACGAGCAATGTTTCGAAGACACCTATGATCGAATACTAGTAACCTACGGATATCCTCTACTCTTACCGGCCATGTTTCACTGCCATAAAGTAGGACGGAACGAACTGCTGCGCAGTAAACACGTCCTTTGGTTGATAGACGGATATCTCGCCTACGCCATAAATGACGCAAGTTGGCAAAAGCTAGTCGAGCCTTCTGTATCCGTGCTGAGATTTCGTCACAAACCAAACCACAAGGGCTGATGAGACTTCCAAAATAAGTGAAGCGGTCGACACACTCAACTACTTCACTCCCTATCACTAGTTCGGGTGTCGATGTAACCCAATCCTGAAGCAACATTTTACATTTCGAGGGAGAGAATCGCATCCCGAACATGCTTGCATTGTTGCTTAGAGTGGTCAGAAGACTCTGCATTTTGTCAGCGTCTTCACCAAATAAAACTATGTCATCTGCATATTCTAAGTCAACAAGTGAACCTCCCGGTAGAAGTTCAACCCCTGGAAATTTAGATGAGGAGAGTGTTATCTCTAAAAGTACGTCAATGACAAAGTTGAACAAGAATGGGGAGAGTGGACAGCCCTGACGAACACCACTTGAGGTGATCAATTCTGATGACAGTTCGCCATAAGCTCTCACTCTACCAGTTGTGTTCGAGTAGAGAGCCTTTATAAGGTTAATGTACTTCTTTGGTACTCCTTTCAGTGACAAACACTGCCATAGAACCTCACGATCAACGGAGTCGAATGCCGCCTTAAGGTCGAGAAATACTACCATTGTGGGGCGTCTGAATGTGTGTCTCTGTTCTAGAACCTGACGTAGTGTGAATATCTGATCTATACAACCACGTCCAGGTCGAAAACCAGCCTGGTTTTCTCTAGTCTGTTCTTCACGAGCTTTAGTTAGGCGTCGAAGTATTATTGAGGCCAATATTTTAGACACTATATTAGTCAAACTGATTCCTCTGTGATTGTCACAAGAGGACTTTTGTCCTTTCTTAAAAACTGGCACAATCAGTGATTGAGACCAGTCAGATGGGATTACGTCCAGTTCCCAAATTCTACCTAAGACCTCAGTTAATCTTGCTGCTAATACTGGACCACCATCCTTAAAAATCTCAGGAGTAAACATGTCAGGGCCTGCTGCTCTCCCTCGTTTCAGATTTCTTATGGCTTTTTCAACTTCGTAAAGGGACGGAGGACTTACATTAACTTGCCATTCAGGTTGACTGGAGATCGTGGGAAACCGAAGTGTGGCTGAAGGCCAGTTGAACTGATCCCTAAAGTGTTCTGCCCATCGATCCAATCTCCTGGATTGAGAATGAATAATATGTCCATCTTTCTCTGAGATTGTTTCGCTAACGGTCGGTTTCCTAATTCCGGTTTCCTTAACGAGTCTAAACAATTGTCTGCTATTACCTATTGCCGCTGCCTTTTCCATCTCTCTTGCTTTCGCTACCCACCACTGTTCGCGATCATTGCGTAGACTTCTTGTCAGCTTGCGCTTAAGCTCACTCCGCTCTTCATTATGTTCAGAGCCAGGTGGAATGAGTTTTCGAGCATCTATCAGTGCGATAGATGCTGCTGAGACCCAGTGTTGCTCCCTAACTTTACGGTTTACCTTACTAGCAGATATCACTGCTGTTTCCACAGCTTTTCGGATATCGTTCCATGCTGCCTCGGGGTGGGCATCACATACATGGCTGCCTAACTCTTTTCCTAGTTGTTCCTGAAATATACTCTTAGCTTGACTATCATTAAGTAGGGCCCTAAGAGGTTTCCTTGCAGGATCTTTCCTACGTCCAGTAAGACGCAAGCAAATACGCGCTCGCACTAGAGCATGATCTGAATCTAGGCATGTGCTCCAGAATGAGCGACAGTCTTCTATCGAGCCCCTCCATCGGTGGCTGATAGCGATGTGATCTATTTGGGTCCAACGTTGGGACGAATTAGGGGGTCGCCATGTTAAAAGATGTTTTTCCTTATGCTTAAAGTTAGTATTTGCAAGGAACAGGCGGTTATCTGAACATAGCTGCAACAGACGGTCGCCATTATCTGTTCTTTGAGCCACGACACCATAGGATCCACCTAGGTGTCTTTCCTTATCGCTTAGTTTACCTACTTGAGCATTAAAGTCACCGGCCACTATTACTACATCCGAGCGCTTAGCTTTTCGGAGAAGGTCCGAAAGCTTTCTGTAAAACTCATCTTTTACATCATCTGAGCTGCAGTCAGTGGGAGAATAGGCAGAGACGACGAAGAGGCAACGACGAGTGTCCCTATCTTTCCGGATTCTTACTGTTCCGTTCAGTCGGACAGCGCACAAACGACTGTTTACTGGGATCCACTCTAAGAGAGCTAGTTCTGCCCTAGGACTCAATGCTATACCTACGCCGGCGAGGCCACGGGAAGCAGAATCAGGGCTTCCAGATACACGAAGCGTAAATCGAGTCGGTTGTTTATTTTGGCATGGTGAGGTCAAATGAATGACGCTACTCGGATCTTGTATGCGCGTTTCGGAGACGCAGCACACATCGATGGCGCGAGATTCTAAAGTCCTAGCTAAGGAAGCCTGTTGTCCTATTTGGCACAGTGTTCGTACGTTAAAAGCTCCTACGTGTAGTTTAGAGCGTGGTTTCAGGAGCCCAGGAATGGCGTTCCACGTACTCGAATCGTTTGCCCTAGCGGTGCGAGGTGATAAAGAGACGTGAGGACGGTTAGTCGGGAGGATAAGAGAGGTATTAGGAGGTGTAGGAAGGATTTGAATGTGACCACCTTGGTCTCTTGTGCTGTTACGGGTATGAGGGCTGATGTCACTTCCCGGCTGCCCACACCGTGGAAGGGTATTTCTTGATGAACCTGAAAAGGAAATTGGATTAGTGTTGGTCTTGACGACCTGGGAGCGTGACCGCAGAGCCCAAGGGACAACTGCTTGAGGCCGGTCGCGCACGGCCTTTTTGTGGAAGGTTTTTGACGTGTTAGCTCCGTTCTTCAAGGGGCCTTACCGCCGGAGACGGAAATCCGTGAGGTAAGGTGAGGTGTGCATTTTTAGGGTCGACCTTTTCTAACCCCACCCCTCCTTGTGGGAAGGCAGCATCGCTGTCATGCTGGTTGTCCGAGGGAAACACCTTACTGCTGTCACACCTCTCTACAGTCAGCAGTACGACTTCGCCCTCAGACCTTGAGCTGCTTTTAGTCTTACCGTTCGCCAATCGACCTGCCTGGCATGGTAGAACCTGCAGGAACATATGTTCCAGCCAATATAGCTCGGTTGGGTCATCACGATAGGCAAGCCCGACCACCGCGTCAAGGTAACAGCTTCGATCGGGGAAGATTCACTACTTCATAAATCGATTCACTACTTATACCTAATAGCCTACTTCTGACCTCGACATCGCTTAATCAGTGATCTAGAAATGCTAAGCAAGCATCTATGGCCAAAAACTAGTGGTCTACGAACATCCTCTATCTTTCTAAGTTCACATTTCACGACCATAAAGTAAAACAAATAGAACTTATTGTGAAGTATACTCGTTACTTTGTTGGTAGGAAAGTATTCCACCTAAACCACAGGTGACGTAAGTTGGTGAAAGTAAAGTTTCTAGATCCATGCTGAGATTTCGCCAGACACCAGCCCATTAAGGTTTATGAAAATTACAAAATAAGTAAAGTGTTCATAATATATTTAGTTCCTTCAAATACTTTTGTCCCAAACCCCCATGTTCTTAAAATAATCAACTGGATAAGATCTGGACAAAAAAGAATAAGTACGAATTCAAACTAAAAAAATACCATTCTTTGAACCGTATTAAGGTCTTGATTCTGAGTATCTCCATATACATCCCTTTACATTCCATGTTTTTTAACCATATTTCCAATGTTTAATCGTTCTTATTACCATTTTTACTACTAGTACTTGGACTCCTTAGCCACTCATCTTGTTAATTTCCTTTCGTTGGGCTGATGTGATATGGGAACATGGGCCAACACATTTGTGTTAGGCTCTACGTTATGATTGACTGACAGTCTCTTTGGGCTGAGATTCCAAACTACTCGGTATGAAACTCTACTTGACCTAAGTTTCTTGACATTTTGGATTTGTCAGGTGTAACTGTAATATTTTGGGAACGTGGTCACGGGGCAGTTAATAATCTCCTATGATACTAAAAAGCTTAAACTGGTTGATCACTGGGTAAGTGACCAATGTCATGTTTATTCATTCCTTAGTGATGATTAAGTTCCGTCGATCGAGTTTTAATGAATTTATTATCCTACGTGACTCGACATCACGAGCACTATGTTTTGACACCAGGTGGTCGGTAAAAAACCGTGGACCTGAGCACCGTGCTAGTTGGTACCCATTACCAAGGGATGCCTGAATAATATAACAATCAGATGATACATACATACGTATGTACACATTAATGTTGATATGGTACTTTGTTCTACGGAAATGGGATATGCAAAAGAAATAGAAGTATACAAGATAAAATAGAACATACCATAAAATGGATGACTGACTAAGACTTCCCAAAGTTTCAGTGATAATATCTCAGTAAATCTTTCAAAGAAAACTGAAAGTCTTGACTCTTCCAAAAGTCGTTCAGCCTGAAATTCTTTATTGGTTTGTTGATTAGTAGTAGTATGAATGACGATCTGTTTTTTATTGTGAAAATTATTTTCTGTTCGCATCCATATATTTGTTCTTCGTCTAAACGCTGCACGAAATATTTCCACAATAAAATCATGTGTAGCATTTGCAAACAATCCTGTTGACAGCACATTCCAAACACCTATTGTTTTCATTAAATGATAGGTATACTTAAAGAAATTCGGATAGACATAAATTGGAGATGATAAACCAAATAGAACAAGAGGCGAACTGAACTGAACTGGTGCCAATGGTTCATACCCCAACTTGATAAGAGTCCAGGCAACACGAAAAGGATTAGCCAATTGTCTCAGGAAGTAAACTTCAATACCAGCTACAGGTTGTTGTTCTACATAAGGTACAATTGTACACGATACATGTTGTGAAAATTCATCAGTATCACTGTCAATCATGGAGTCTAGGAAATAGACAAAAATATAAATAATTTATATAGTATTTGTTATGCAAATGAAAAACTATGATTTAAAATATATTTACCACGTCACAATATTATACCATCAAATGATAAATTGAAAATAAGTATAAATATAAATTGAACAAGTTAAAATAATGGTCACTTATTATTAACGTGGAACCATGGATGAGTGTGTTTTCGGTCTAAATTGGTGCACCACAAAATGAAGCATAGGAAGGGGAAATTTTTCAAAATCAACGAAAACTTAAACATGAGAAATACATTCCAAACGAAACAAATGGAACCACAAACTGAATAGTTAAACACAATATTAAACAGACGTTTGAGAGAAATATACAAAATAAGTGCAACTGCTCCATTTTGACTGAATTACAACCAATATTATTTGAATTATCTGGGGTTATTTTTGCAGATAATGGAAAATTTTGGGGTACGAGTAAACCGCTTTCTCTTGCTTCATTATAGAACGCAAGATATTTATTTCGTACTTTGAATAATGACTTGGGCACTAAAAAGTCCTGTATTATTCTTTCCTTGAGTAAAATTCATCCCTGAAAGCTTAAAAGTCATGATCGAATACTACTCTCTCCCCATAATACTGAGACGCTACCTTTTATCTTAGTCATTCGGTTCTTTTACAAATTTAAACATGTAGTATAATCTACAGACCCCTTAACAAGCTTTTCTCCATACAATCTTCTAGACTTGCAGAGGGTCGAGGCACAAGTATTACGAACTTCTTGATATTGAGATTTTGTCTCGTCAGCATCCAGCAACCTAAATCTCTTCCACCTCCTCACTGAACCAGTGGCGAGTTTCTCGGATAATTTGATGTAGTACAAGGAATGTGAGGTGCGGTAAACTTTGTGCATATTTCTGAATACCCTCTAGGCCGTGTCAACGGGGGATTCTGGTTCTAATATTCAATCTACTGAGCGCATAATTTCTTCTACATCTGCTTCAAAATGTTTGATTTAGCATGAGCTGCTCATCACTGTTGACAACGATGTGGAATTCAAAGACTAGAACTGCATGGTCAGTATTACCTACGGGTAGTATATAATCAAGGTCTGCAAAACCATCCTGATAATATGAGATCTAGTAGAAATGATTCGGAGCCCGTGTCGTACCCAGCTGCTTCCTACACATTTTGAACTAAGGGATGTGTAGTAACCACGTCAACGAATTTTTGTTCGAAAGAATTTTCTGACATCCTAGCACTCAGATTTTTCCAGTTTATCTTAGGTGAATTAAAGTCTCCTAAAACTAATCATCGACCGCTTGATGATCATGTGTTAAATCCGTCTAGCAAGACCTCATTCACCTTACAATTTGGACTGGCAAACCGAACCAATCAACAGCTCCCTTCCTTTGCATCTCAAGCAGTAGCTAACTAAGTTGCACGTTCCGCTTTTGTGATATGTTATCGATAACGGCAAAGAAGATGGTATAATTAAGGAATAAAGGTACTCCACCTTTAAGCTTTTGGGTTCTGTCTGTTCTTACTAATGTAAAATTTTGAACATCAAGTTCCCTATTGTCTATAGACTGAGTCAGCCGAGTTTCTGTGACGACAGTTACATCCATCTAGGTAGAATATATCTGTACATGTAGCTCTATCGCTTATTAAACTCCTGTTATTTGTGTGACAGATCCGAAGACCATTTAAGTAGCTTCATGTTGTACCCAGGGTGGCTTCGGCATCATTCTCTGTCGAATCCTCATAGCCCGAAAATTTATAGTTTTAAGTTGCTTAGTTTTAGTACCGTTACATCGTGGTTTTTTAAGCAGCCCACGAGCGACAAGACTTTACCAACAAGAACTCCTGAACTTTTTAATTCATGTACATTATATGGCATTAAGTCCCTTTCATTGGGCGATTGAAATACAATTTTTAGCAGCCTGGTTTAGTCCTATTGCAAGTCCGCTCGGCTACCTAGTCGACAAACCTTCAGCAAGGTAACCCTAGAAATACCTTGATGCATCAGCTAGTTAAGTAGATCTTTTACCAACCCAATGTCGTGCTCAACGAGTTTAGAGCTGAGTTTTTGCTCTCCTTGACTCTGAAAGATGACTGACCTGTCACTAGAATCATTCACCTATTTCTTAACTTCTGTTAACGAAACATGAGGTTATTTTTTATCCATGATTTATGTCCAGTCATCAGTTTCCACAGGGGTAGTAATCACAGTTGTGCTACACACACTGCGAGACCTGGATGATTGTCGGAGATTTGGGCGGTCAGGTTTTTGTTTCTCCTGCTAAAAACAGACCTAGCCATGAGATTGAATTTTCCAGGCGTTTTCAAAATGCTTTCACTTTGAGAGCTGGAAGCAGAAGAAATCTGCCTTCGTGAGTACTTTCTCCTTAGACCCATGTAAGTCCATAGACTTTGGGATTATTTGGGATGACAGCAAATCCATCTATGTATCGACAAAGCATTATTAAATCCGCCATGATTGCGCTTACTAATATGCATTTTAGCAGCCTAAAACATTGTAGGGATCTCAAAAGACAAGCACTTCGTATCAGAGGCTCATTGCTGGAATGACTATATTCACCCACTTTCACGCAACCTTTTGGAAGCCGCAAAAGTTGGAATTGTATGGACTCACTGCTACCATCTTCCGCACTCAACGCACTGTATGCAACTTTCTGAATGATATTTATAGCACAGGCTAGGCATTGATAATTGCTTCTTAAGAAGCACTTATCTAAAATTTTAGTCTAAAATTTTGAACTATCTAGTCATCAGTCAGCTGTTTAAAAATAGCAAAGACACTCACACACGTAGATAATAAAGCTGAGAACCAGCAAAAAAGGTGAATTATGAACTACTTAGTTCAAAAGTGCAACAAACAGAAACAAAACTGGTATACTCAATTAAAGAACGTGTATAAAATTACTTTTGAAAAGTAACGATATCCTTGGTGTTGCTTCAACTGACGTTAGCTCAATTAAAGTTAATACGGCGGACTTGATGTGTAATAAACAATCAAAACTATAATTCTTACACACTGAAGTAAAATATACCACCTTACTCTTAAATAGAGCGCCCTTACTTCGGTAATAAGATGCTCGGCATCCTCAAGGTCGTGCGGTCAATATTTCTGAAGGAATGTTCACATGGATATTGCCTTCGAATTGGCTTGTGAAGCACTCAAATGTAACGAAGTTCCAGTAGGATGTGCTTTTGTTTATAATGGAGAAGTAATTGCATCTGGTCGCAACGAAGTAACTCATTAGTAGGAGTTTTGTGATTTCTAGGTGAATGCAACTAGAGATGCTACTCAACATGCCGAGATGGTTACTATTAGACGACTGGAACAATGGTGTCGAAATAACGAAAAAGAGCTTGACGAGGTTTTGACCGAATGCGACCCTTTTGTTACAGTGGAACCCTGCATTATGTGTACCGCTGCGTTTTAAGTGCTTCTGGGTGGAATAGAAGTTTTCGCTTAGCGAATGTAGCGATAAATAAATACTCAAAATCAATAACACTGTATGCCTTTGAAATTTAATGCTGACTACATTACTTTTAATGTACTCACCCAGCTGAAGGCGCTCGGTGATTCATCTGCACCAGATCACGATTGGCACGCCGAGCTCAACTTATCCTGCAATCTCTGACCAATTTAGACCAGTCACCTCTCCATATATTTATGACATATCAAATATATCTTCGAAACTTTTCGCCTCTTTTTATTTCACTGGGTGAGCACGATTTAATTATGAGTGTTACTGATTAAATTGTTGCCAAACTACAAATATTTGTGGCATTCTTCACTGATGAGCCGACGTGATCTGGTACACCGACTCGTAAACTGTAAGTCTTTTCCTATTAGGAAGTTCATATATCATTACTCTACCTAAATTTTTGTATATTGTGATATTTTTTCATATTTTTGGATCTTTTTTCCCTCGTTCATTCCTGTACTTCATCTTCGCCATAACAGAACAGTCTCCTAATGTACTTAATATCAAGACTTTGGCACCACCCTCATTTTAGCTAGTGCCATGCTGGCTGGACAACATCAAAGTCTGGTTCTGCTATATAGAGGCTGACCTCTACGAGCATTGAATGACCGATGCACGTGCACAATTACTCGTAGTGGTAAAGGCACTAACACGTGAATTCTGCAAGTACAAACACCTAGTATGTTTACCAGTGATGTTTCGGAACCTTATGAAACTGTAAAACGGCCTATTCTGAAACGCGGGAATCTAACAGATCAATAAAGGTTGGATCAACTCCTTAATAACATCGATCTTCAATATGGCTCGGCAACGGACATGTTGTTACGAATGAGCGATGTAATTGATCAAAGGACTTTCGACGATGACCTGTTTAAACATCTTCTTTTGTCTAACCTTCCTCAACAGGTGAAAGCTGTACTTGTCTCGATTCAAAACATTACAGTAGACGAGCTGGCTGAATCTGCCGACCTCAATCTGGAGATAACCAAGTCTTCTGACTCCTATGTTTCTACAGTCAAAGAAAAACCCCAAGCGACACACAATGACATTACGGAACTATGTCATACGTTGACACGTTACCTTCGTATTCATAATGACCGTGAACGATCGCAAACCTGTAAAAGGAGTTCTTCACGTAAACGATCTGTCTCTAGCCCACGAGGGACAGATTACCCCGACTGGTGCTGGTATCACAATCAGTAAGGAAGATCTCGAAACTACAGTAAACCCTGCAATTTTCAGAACTCCAAACCGACCGACATTAAAAACGTTTCAGGAAACTTCCCGGCCGGTACGCTTTAACGGCAACCGTAACCGGTGAACATAGCCATCTATCAAACGTCACTGATGTGATTGCGAAAATTGGCTACCTCGTCCATGACGGAGCACAAGCTAGCGTTCTTCCGGCAAATTCTAACGACCGATTGCACAAACCCGTTTTAAACTTACAGGCGTCAAACTGAAAACCGATCATCACATATGGTAAGCAGTAATTCTATCTTAAGGTGGGTTTACGCAGACCCATCCACTGAATTTTCCTTTTTGCAGACGTTTCTATGCCAACCATCGATACAGACTTGCTACAGTATCAAAATTTACTAATCGACACGCGCAAATGAAGGTTAGCAGTCGGAAACAATAATTTGTCTGTTTGTGTAACTTCTTTTCCTGATTGTAGACCATCCTAAGTCATAGTAAGGCACACGACCGATCCATACTACCAACATATACTCGATAAGTACCCTGCGCTATACCAAACGCAGCCAAAATTGCAGTGCGTAACCAGCAACGTTACATATCACAACACGACTACAGGATCCCCTGTATTGTCGAAAGAGCGCCGACTACCTCTCGAAAAACTGAGATTGGCTAAAAACGAATTCGATCACGTGATGGATTGAGGAGTCACTCAGCAATCTTACTGTAATAACAAGTTACTTGCAGTGTCAAGAGATACAGTCTCATGGTAACCGTTCACCAACGATTGGTTTATACGTCGTTTATTTCCTTAGGATCCTGGAACCCATGTACATCACTGGTTTGGAATTACTTCCTTACGCCTGTTACTCCTAATGGAACATAGGCCACAGACTCGCATTCTCCAACCCACTCCGTCTTGGGCCTTTATTTCTAGTTCCGTCCAATTCTTGTTCATTTTTCTCATGTCTATCTCCATTTCTCGACGTAATGTGTTCTTTGGTCTTCCTCTTTTCCTTTGGCCTTGAGGATTCCATACGAGAGCTTGCCTTGTGATGCAGTTAGGTGCTTCCCTCAATATGTGTTCTATCCACTTTCAGCACTTCTTCCAGATTTCTTCTTCCTCTGGAATCTGGTTTGTTCTCTCCTATAGTATTAGGCTGTTGCTGATAGTGTGTGTCCAACGAATCCGAAGTATTTTGTTAAGACGGCTATTAATAAATACTTTTATCTTCTGGATGATTGCTTTCGTAGTTCTCCAAGGTTTCGCACCATACAGTAGAATTGTCTTGACATTTGTGTTGAAAATTCTCACTTTGGTGTTTTTTGACAGCTGCTTGGAGTTCCAGATGTTCGTCAGTTGTAAATATGCTGCTCTTGCTTTGCCGAACCGTGCCTTCACATCTGCATCAGATCCAACGTGTTCATCAATGATGCTGCCCAGATATGTGAAGGGTTTTACATCTTCAAAATCTTCGCCGTCAATTGTGATTGGATTGGTGCATGCTGTGTTGTATCGGCAAATCTTGCTTTACCCTTTGTATATATTGAGATCTACTGCTGCTGGGGCTGCTGCCACACTGGTCATCTCCTGCACTTGTTGATGCGTTTGCGATAGGAGGGCCAGATCATCTGCGAAATCTAGATCGTCCAAATGCATTCTAACTATCCACTTTATCCCGTGCTTCCTCTCAGATCACAACTGATTGATCACTGGGTGGTGATCAATGTCATGCTTGTCTAGTCCTTATTAGTGCAGATCGAATGCTATCGATCATGTTGCAATGCAGACACCAGTCTAGATGACTCGACATTGAGTGCGCTATATTGAGGTCACGTGGTGGTTGGAGGTAGTCAACAGGAAACCCTGGACACGGGTTTCGTGCTACTTGGCATTCGTCAGCAAGGTATACCTGTAATCTTGAAGGAACTGGTGCTCCCTGGCGGATTCGATCACGTGTCACCCAGCTTCACAGTCACAGACGTTAGCACTGGGTTATCCGAGCCGCGACTGATCTCCTGTAGGACTGAGATGTAATCCCAATTGATTGATCACTGGGTGATGATCAATTTCATGTGTGTCAGGTACACCTTGCTGACGAGTGCCAAGTAGCACGAAACCCGTGTCCAGGGTTTCCTGTTGACTACCTCCAACCACCTCGTGACCTCAATATAGCGCACTCAATGTCGAGTCATCTAGACTAGTGTCTGCATTGCAAATCGGTCGATAGCATTAAATGGGCATTAAGAAGGACTTGACACACATGACATTGATCAATCAATTGTGACTCAAAACAACTGTCAATTATTATCAAAGTGTGAATCTTCAATACGAACTTCAAGACAGTTCTATTGTATAAAGCTGAAACTTGGAGAACTATTGCAACCATCATTAAAAATGTACAGGTACTCACAAACCTCTCACTCTTGGCTCCTTTAGGTATAGGCAATCATGCCATCATAGCCTTGCAGCGACCGAACAACCAATAGTCGGTTGGAACACCGGACTGACAAACCAAAAGTTATTCGATTAGACCAGACCACGTTTCTCTGTATAGCTCACAACGCGTTTTTGAGATGCTCGTATTATATTATATCAAAACACAAACTCTGTGCTCAATATAAACGGTCCTAATTTAGAAAACAGAACAAATTATATCAAAAATACAAATATACCTCAAACGGTACAGCCTGTGCTATACAGTCAGAAATTTCTCTAACGCAAACTGGCTCGCTAAACAATGAAAGAGACAGTTAATACTAAGGGGTTTGATACCTGAGAATCAATACAAATATTCCCAACAAGATGGGATCAAATATCTCTCCGCAGGGATTCCAGCAATCCTTCCAAGCAGACAATCAAGAAGTTAACAATCACGCACTGAATCACGCCGTGACCTTCAGCTTAGTCAAACACGACCTTACTGTCAATGGTTCGGCAACATGCAATGATAACTTAGGTAACAAAAGATAAGTCTTTAATCAAAATCACATAATAAAGGATCAGACGAGAAAGACTCAAGAACAAAAGGTGTGGTTAAACGAGATCTGAACAAAGGTTAAAATACACAACAGGGAGAAGGAACAAATAAATGACAATACTGTTCAACAAAGTAGCTGCAGAGGGATTTTCACCATTCTCTTTCCGTTACAGCCTTCAATTTTATCAGCACAATTGAACTAAGACATCTTACCAGCAACAGGCGCTGGATATGTCAGCTTCACAGGACAATCCGGAGCAGATGGACTGGGAATTTCACCCTCAGCTTGATGTGGATGCTCATTAGGATTCCTCAATGCACAGGATTTTATGTGCTACAAAAAAGTCTGTTCCGCAAACGTTCCTCAAGAACTACAAGCAATCTATAGTCATCAAGAATCGCACACTTCGTTTGACAGGCCACAAAAGGCACCACTGGGTGGAACACAAGCGAACTGATAACAACGGTGCGTACAAGCAATCCAAACAAGCAAGGAAACAGTGCACAAAGGCAGGAAGAGAAAACAGGTTTCAATACCAGGCAAAGCTTATCGATAGATTTGTATCGGACCCGAAAAGCTTATTCCGCCACGCAGTCTCTCTTTGACGGGCCGAACCCGAAGTTCCCTGACTGCTAGGTCCTAATGGCTTGACCAACAACGACGCTGATGCCTCTGACCCTCTGGTAGAACAGTACTTTTAGACATTTCAACCGACCCACGCTAACCACATTGATAAAAGCTTCACCTGCAACTCCATAGGACTCTCGTAAGAGAACCTGAGATCTGGCTTCGTGTATCGGAAACCGCAGCATTTAAACAGAGACACTTTGTGGTGGCGTTGGTCGCCGACCACGCGAGCTTTGAAGCTGAGCGTATTATTATTAGGAAGATTGACGTTCAATATGTAACACTAAGAGAAGGTCAACAATAGTGAATGCGTGAACAACTGATCGGTACGGCATAGCTCAGCCATGCAGACGTGGTCATCGGTGTAACAAACCCCTATTCACATTAAAATATATTATTCTATCCTCAACCTAAATGTGTTCTTCAGAAGTGCTAAATATCGTATTGCTGATGGTCACGATACAACGAGATAATGATGTGACGTCCACGTAATATCTTATGGACTAGGTAATCACGTCATGACAAATCCACAATTTTGGGATCAGGTCCACCATAATGGTGACAAAGATGAATGTGCTACTACCGAACCATACCATTATTCCATAAATTATCCTGGCCCGGATATGGTCCATTTTGCTTTACGGAGGGAAGCAGCTTTAACCTTGGCAACACCGCTTAGTGCTGTTCTCACATTCGCTAAGTCGAGGCAGCTCGATGGTACTCTCAATGCCCCCAAGAATTGTGGAGTCCCTGGTATGCGGCGGTATACGTTACTACTTACTATACATGAACTTCTTTTCACCCAGACAGCACAGTTTCAGAAAGGGTTACTCTTGTATAGCCAACCTACTGACTTCCGTGGACAGATGAACAACCGTCTTTAATAATAAGGGGAAGGTTGACGTTGTATATCTTGACTTCGCATTAGCTTTTGATAGGGTTAATTATATGTCTTATCAGTAAGTTCAAATGATTAGGTATCAAATTACCTTTAGTTGATTGGCTTACTTCGGATTTAATTTCACTTTCTCTCCGACTATGGAATATCCTAGTGGGATCCCCCAGCCATCAGTACTGGTGGGGAAAATCGAATGTATTTGAACACAGAATTACAGAACCTCTTAAAGAAATTTGAGAACCATACAGTAAATACTTCATTTGCAAAAATATAAATCAATTGTCTCAAACTTGACTGTTCCTCTTGCAAATGTCAATCAATCGTCGCAGACTTTATTAGTCTTTCGATTCCACGCCAATCATTCTTTGTTCTCGTTCTCTTTTCTTTGATCTTCCAAACCTTCTGCCTCCATGCATTTCACTTATGACTGATGATACACACCACTTATATCTGTCGACATCAGTAGCACGCACCACACTGGGAAATCTTCCTTCCTTGATTTACATGAACGATATTCCATAGCAGGTATTGTCAGATTTATTACTTCTCGCCGATGAGGTGAAACTCTGGAGAGAAGTTTGCAACGAAGAGGATTATCTGGCACTTCAGGAGGATCTGAGTGGACTTTAAAGTTGAGCAGATGACAACGGATTTACCTTTAACACTTCAAAGTGTAGAGTAGTCCATCTGTGACGTGTTACAGGTTACAAATACAACTTAGGCAACTCCCCTTTAGAGGTATCTCAAGTTGAAAAGATCTGGGAATGTTGGTACCCTATGATCTGAAGTCTTACACTAACTACGACAAAAATGCCTTCCAAGCAAACGTTACACTAATGACGGTGAAGCACATTTCCGGCCATTCCGACGGAAGAACTTAACGCATAATCTTTAACAGTTTTATTTGACCTCATTTAGAGTACAGAAACAGTACTCACTCCTTCATTCCAAAAGGATAAGAACCCTCTGGGACGTATATAACGGCGAGCAACGAAATCAGTTCGGGGACTCAAGTTTAAGCCTTATGAAGAGCGCGTCCAGTCACCGGATCTTTTATTAATTAACCTTCTAATGACTTACAGTGTCTCAAACACTTCTATGCATCTACTTAAACATCTACTTAGGCTTATAACCAACACTAACCTTAAGAGTAACACCTAGAGACTAGACACACAACACAGCAGAGTGAACTGTAGACACGCCTTCTAATCCGTAAAAGTAGTCAAATGCTTGCATTCGCTGCCGGCTGAGCTGGTCCAAGAGACTTCCCAGAAGTCCTTCAAGAGAAAACTTGACATGTTCTAAAGGACTAAGGATAGTATCTTGCTAAAAACTAATTTCTTCTCTTTTGTTGCTAAATATACCTAGGTTATTATCTGGAGGTATCGATGATCCACTGTTACTGGATATGGATGCCCGTTAAGTAAAAGCTTCTTCTATTCCAACCCGAACCGTTTGATGTTCGGCATCCTCAAGGTCGTGCGGTCAATATTTCTGAAGGAATGTTCACATGGATATTGCCTTCGAATTGGCTTGTGAAGCACTCAAATGTAACGAAGTTCCAGTAGGATGTGCTTTTGTTTATAATGGAGAAGTAATTGCATCTGGTCGCAACGAAGTAACTCATTAGTAGGAGTTTTGTGATTTCTAGGTGAATGCAACTAGAGATGCTACTCAACATGCCGAGATGGTTACTATTAGACGACTGGAACAATGGTGTCGAAATAACGAAAAAGAGCTTGACGAGGTTTTGACCGAATGCGACCTTTTTGTTACAGTGGAACCCTGCATTATGTGTACCGCTGCTATAAGGTTTTGTCTTCCAGCTCATCTGAGAAGGTAAGTTTATTTCTTACTTTGACTTTGTCACTAGTATTACATACGGTGCTCGTAATGAACGGTTTGGCGGATGTGGTTCAGTCCTAAGTGTACACAATTCTCCTAGTCCAGTCGCTCCGCTAAACTGCATATCCGGAGTTGAAGCGGAGGCAGCTGTTAAACTGCTAAAGAAGTTCTATGAACAAGAAAACGAAAATGCTCCCGAAGAACTTCGAAAACGCAAGCGTGTGACGTAGTTGTGTTGAGTAATTGGGTATTTTTATGTTGTCATCGACATTTTGTTGTAAATAAATGTAAGTAGTCGTTGAAGTTGCTTTCTTTTTATATGATAGTGGAAGTCGCATTGATTGTCATTTGTTCACCCCTCAACATACTCTATATGTGTTAAATTTTATCGTAATAGACATTACATATTTATTTGTCGATCTACCTTGAAGATCGAACCTCTTAAGTAGAAAATATTTTAAAACTTTGATCGTCTACTCTTCTTATCATTGCGTTTATGAAGTGTATGTTCACTATATGGTAGAAAGCCATACTCGTGTCATGCCTTTATGTAGTTGCTCCAGGTACCAACAACAACCATTTGGCACTGCTATGAAGATGATCGGTTTTCCCGATGAATTGCTTCGGGAGCTAGTTTGCACTACACTATCCTACTTCACATTAAATGACTTAAAATGTGTAGGACACTAAGAGATGTCCTTATATCTGGTGTTTTCTCTTCAGTCTAGGTAACAATAAGTTATATGACGTAACAGGGAAGTTCAAAAGCCAAGAATAAGCGATATATTCATGAAGCACATACTTTCCCTTTGAGCAATCAGCACTTAGAAGCTGTTATTGGAAGTGCTGCACATGTCTCCCCTTGCAGGAGAATATGCATTTACTCCATGTCAATAGGCAGGTTCAGTTCTGCAAACACGATGTTGCCATTGAAGCTTTAGTAACTAAGTGGCTTAGTGATGACTTGGAACCTTTGTCTAGTCACAGTTTTGATAGGGGATGTCTATAGACTTGTCGCACATTCCCAAGTCTATTCAGGTTCAAAAGTTCACCAACAAACATACGCCATTTACTTAAAAGGTCCAAAAATCTTCATTTGAGGGTATGGGACTCATATAATATTTCGTAGGCTTCTATGACATGATTTTACGGCCTTACGTTTCCCGCTTAACCCCCATCTCATACTTAGCGTAACAGAGTGAATTGATGTACATCTTCCTCATTTCCTGTAGGCATATGAATGACCCATCAGTGTCATCACTACTGTATTTGACGTATCCTGAGTATGTTGGTCGATTAATTCACTGTTTATCCCTAAAATAAATATTTGAACATACTCTTTTTTAACTTATCGTGTGACAAACAAATCTCAGAAACACTTGGATCTTTACTGTAAATAAAATATTTTTAATCGCGTTCAATATAGAACATCCCCATTCATTGTTGTTGTTTACAATAGAAACAGATTTATCCTATTCCATGAGTTACTTTGTGACAAATTTATTTGGTAAAGTTGATAAATATGAGTTGATATAATGTAATGAGAAGACGAAAATTATCAGGACTATGTGATATATTAGCGTAATACATTTCGGACAATCTGATCATGCATATACTTGTTAAGAACATTCATATGTAAAAATGAGAGGTCAACTAATAAAGGAATTAATATAAAAAACAATGTGGGACTCATCACGCTGGATCACACGTAATTGGCACTGTATTTCACTAAAATTCTAAGAGTATTTTTGCAGTCCATTTGTAGCATTACCATTTTCTTGACAAGCATGCTATACTACTGTAAATGATTTGTGGAATTTTCAGTTTAAATCACGATTTGACCTCATCTAGATCAACATTGAAAGTTCGGAAGGACTGGACGACCGTTTCATCTCAGTATGGGACTCCCTCGCGGTGGGAACCCACGATCCTGGACGCGGGAATCAAACTTGGGGTCTCCGGCCTCGCTCACAAACACCTAATCTTTAGACCACCGGGTTGGTATCCAACGTTGTTAATATCTTCAATCTAGTGCTTCCAGGTCTGCGATAGAAGTCTAGCTGGGAACTGTTTGTGATTTAAACTGAAAATAAGCTTTGTATGGATATCATCAGGGCTCCTCAAATTCATCATTTGACCACCTATTTAGGGATTCACGTATTAATTTAGTTAGCAACTGACATAGTTCTGATTGATGAGAATGCTGACGAAATTTCAGGTGTTCTGAACTCCCTCGATAACGAAATATTATTGTTTGGATTGTGTTTCTCTTTCCTTGAATCCGAAACCTTATTTCAAGGCTATTCTACGTCAGCGTATATTTAATCATAGGGATCGAAGTGGCTGACCACTTCACTTGTCCTGATGAGTCTGTCCCTGACGAAATCATATCGTGGATACGAAAAGAGAATTTGATTTTCGTCAATCTGCTGATTAATATGATAGTGGACTTAAAGCCCACTAGGAGTTATGAGACCAAAAAACTGCACCATGAATTCATTGACTGTTGATCTTATCCATGCAGGAGTAGACTACATGTTTGAGATCAGCATAATAAGTGCGATCAGTGGTTGGAGACCTTGCATGGGATAGTTCAAAGTTGGTCTCAGTGGAATAAATACATTTATCTGTCCCTAAATCGTGAGGTCAAATGCTTTTTTACCAAACGAGTGGATCTTGTCACTCCAAACTTTATTCTTTGTGTTTTCTCTAACGAGATAGATACTAAGCAAATTTGAACGGTCCTTTCTGAATTTATTGTCTATAATTTTGTATAATTATCAACTACTCAAACTATTGCATCTTTTCCCTCCTACCTTCAAACTTCCCCGTGATGCATAAGCTGATGTACCCTTCTTTAGCTACTATTACTTCATTACGGACCTATTACTCAGCACTCTTCCATTCATGGCATGGTTACCCCTCTATTGTGATTCCTTAAATATCAGAGAGGGGATTGTAGTAGTTTTAACCGCCGAATCGAGTCGATCTAAGCTAGACCACCATTGATTATAGGAGTAGGTTGGAAGAAAGCTAGGGGCGACCAGACCAAAACATGGCACAAATCCGTGAAGTCACTGACAAGTGGACTGAGCTATGTTGGTAGGTGTAGAATACCTGGTTGGGGACCGTGAGATGATAGCAACCGATGGTTAGAAACCCTGAATGACATGGCTCAAAATTGTTTGCAATGGCGCAGGTGCATACACTCTTTGTGTTCTCTCAAATGTTATTGTTCAGAATTCTTCATGTCCTTTATTTTCTTTCTAAATTTATTTCACTGTATTATACTCCTTGAATAACATCTTCAAACCCTAATCTTTCCGATTACTGCTTATACTCTTACTACCTCTACCACTACGGGATTAGAGTCGACAATTGTATATGTGTGCTAATGTGGTGTGGCAACTCGAAATAATGTACGTACGTACGAAGTCCTACGTTGTTATTGACTGACTAACTGAGACCACCATTGATAACCTGGAAGCACTGGATGGTCGTTTCGCCTTAGTACAGGACTCCTCAGCAGTATGCATCCAAGACCCACACGCGGGACTTGAACCAAAGACCTTCAGTGAAGAGCTGTGACCAGTGGAGTCCGATCTTTGTCGAGTATGAGACAGTTATCTATATCAGACTATGGATGAAGAGTTGCACAAGATCATAGATCGATTGAAGTTAGGCATTAACACTTGGATTCCGGCTCAGTAGTCTAGAGTTTAAGCGTTCGCGTACGAGACCGAAGGTTCTTGGTTCAAACCCCGCATGCGGGTCGTAGATGCATACTGTTGAGGTGTCCTGTACTATGACGAAACGACCATCCATTGCTTTCAAGTTATCATTGGTAGTCTAGCTTAATTCGACTCATGAATTCAACTGTTGGAAGTTCTTGAATATGTTGATTTGTAGTCAGGTGTTTACTCTGTATTATTGTGATTCATAAATTCGAACTGTATAATCAAGTCTCTTTTCTGAGTTGCTCTCTTTCTGGTTATCAGGCGAGCGAGTGTGGGAAAGTGCGTTCTGCACCAATAGTCATTTAGTGTTATTCTCGGCTGTTATCTCACTATTATCGTGTCATTGGTTATCCAAAGGTCTATGGTACTAGATCTACAGTCTAGATGAATCAATCAATACTCAGAGTAGATCGATACAACTGCTCTCCTTTCTTACGGTCAAATCACACGGATTTCCAAAATAACTAACGTGATATCTGTTTATGTTTACCGTTATATCAATGTTGAGTCTTTTTTCCTACTATCGGCAATATTATAATTCCGGTTAGTTAGTTTGTTTATTCATTTATGTTAATGTGATGTAGCGATTCAAACCAATGTACACTCGTCTCATGTCTTATTTCAATGGTGACTTACTGACTTTAAATAACAAGTGTTTGAATCAGCATTTCCAAAATAGTCACTTGATAATACTCAAGTGAATAGTATTCTTATATTCCTTTCTGTCAGCTCCCCAACCCTTCCTTGCAAGTAACTGTTGGTTGAATTTCATGAAAGGATCTGAAGGACTTGTAGTTTACTATTGTAAGAAGATTGCTTGCTCCTTACCTACCTTCGCACTGTAACTCCATGGATTCCAGCCGATGAACTTACGTAATTTGGTTTTTCATAAAACGAATTACCAAGTATCTGTTTATCTTCTTACTAGACAGTTTGTATAAAATGTAACGGATAAAAAACCTAGAAGCTATATATTACGTGTTTTACTTGATCAAGCGGCCTAATCGTAGTCGACTCTACATTATCAGTAGTTTTTAATAAATTAGAACACTAGAATCTCAGTAGGAAAAACATTTCATTTTATCTTCCAATACTGCTACCCTCCCTCGTTGGAATCAAACCTCGACCTTCATTCTCGATTGTAAGTTCTTAATCCATTCTATTGATCGAAATAGTATCTCTCAACTTCGTATTATATATTTAACACAATCTACGAGTTCTTATCAAGTTGAATTCCTCTTTATCGAGCGATTTATGTATCTGTCTCTTGGTAATGTATTGTGGATAGTCTCCTTGGAACCTCACCCTCATGAGATGATCTAGTGATTCCTGCAAGCGATATATATAATGTAATCGTCAAAATAGGTTCCAGAGTAATATGTAGTGGCTGTGTTTCGTTGACCAATCACCCTCGTAACCGTTACCATATAATCCTCAACGGTGTTTGAAATCAGAATACGAAGAGAAGCAGCGACTACAGTTTTATTAGCAGATAACTCAGACCACAAAGCAGTGAGGCGTGTGAGTGAGTCAGCGAACCGAGAGTGTAGAGTGTTAAATATATAA